CACACAAGCATACAGAAAAGTATGTAAACTACACACGAATATAGCGGAAAAAAGTACAAAAATGACACCGAACCGAGAGAAACAACAAATGCAAAAAAAACACAAAAAATTAAAAAAAGAACACTACTTTGTTATTCCATTTTTTAAATTAAAAAAACGACCTTAAAAATAATGCAAACAAGTACCGGGGAAAAAGGATTTTAAATAATGAGAAACACTATTTTTTCATACATAAACACATATTTGCTTTTAAACAAAACAACATTTATACACTGAAAAATCCAAATGGAAAACATTTTAAAACCATTTGTTTTCTCTACTCTAAAACCTTATTGTACAGTCCTAAAGTTACAGTAAACCACTAGCAACATAACAATCATACCTTGGTCCATTTTCGAACTCAAATGTCTTCAGTAAACTAATTGTACACCCGAAACAATCTCATTATTATGACATCGACGACTACAGAAACAGACAAAACTTTTTTTTAATATTCATCAATATTTATTTTTATTATAAAAAGAGAAAATGCGAAGTATCAAGAGTAAAAAAAAATTATATTTTTGAAAAGTTAAATAAAATCTTTTATATACATACATATATTACAATAGATGTGTTTTAAATTACGCTTAGGGGACAAAAACTCGTTTTTAAAATCACTGTGCATCTCAGATACTGCTTTTCTACAAAAATTTGGCAAAATATTACAACTTTTTTTCAAATAAATGAATGACACATTTTTAACACGAAAATTTAACAAGTGAAATGGTCCAAAACTTAATTTTTGAAACACAGATCTTAGAGATTCGGTAAAAAATATTAAATTTTAGAGCTATTGAATCGAAACCAGGATTATCATTTTCATAATTTTAAGACTATATTGATATTTTTAAATTTTCTGGTCGAAAACCATTTTTTTTGCAATCAGCTACATGATTAATACTTTTCATTATTTTCGATAAAAAATTATCGTTCATAAATTTTAATTTTATCGTCCTGGCTTGAGCAGATATAATTATTTTCCAGTATTTTATCGATATATATTTATAGGTTTTATGGTCAATCTATAGTTTATTTATTGTTTTCAATAAAAAAATAACCGTCATTCTAGGATGTAAAATTTTTCGGTAATCAAGTGCTTGAGCATTTTTTGCCTCGATATATTGGTATTTTGGACAAAAACAGAAGGATCAAAAATAATCGTTATTCTTGGAATTCGACTTCATCGATCATATGAGTTGTATTACTCGATGATTAGGAAACGTGAAAAAACAACAAAAATAATGTTTTCATTTCAACTTGTCAAAAAAAAACTGTCCATTTCAGTTTTTTTAATTAATTTTAATAAATTTTTAATACACATTAATAAAGGCTAATACTATAAAATATAAATCCTAAAGATATTAATTTTAAATTCAAAGTAGGCGGTGTTTTATAGGTATAAATACATCCTCAACCGCCGTAACCTTCCGTGCACGAGGTAAGGGTATGTAACACCCCAGCGGTCTAAAAAGCGTAATAATTCTTAAACAATAAAAACGGCCGAGTTCGTTTTCCCCAGTAGCTATAAATTCGACGTTGCCATTATCTTCAGACGTGGTTAGCGAATTTCAGTTCTCTTTTCTTTAAAACAAAGCCAATTTTCTTTCCTACTCAAGTTGTATACAACGCTTTTCATTTAAACGGTCGACTTCGGAGCTATTTACGATATTTCTTAGAGTTTTGCTATATAAAAAATAATTATAAGTAGGCGTAAACTGTTTATATTTAAAAACTCACTGTGTGATACCATGGGGATTTAACCTTTCCAAAAAAAAGTTTAAAGTCAATTGCCTAAAGTATGTAAATTAGGGTGGTCCTTAGAAAATCAAATGAGCGATTTCTTCAGTCACAGATCTCACATATAAATTTTGGTCCCCATTGGACATGGTCAAGGCGTGTCGCACAGGGGGCAAAGTACCGATTCCTCTATAGAGACACAAAAAACTTAAATTAATTTGTTTTTCATCTAATACTCAAAATCGATACTACCATAGTCGAAGATATCACATATAAATTTTGGTCCCGATTGGAATCGGGTAGGGCGTGTCGCACATACAACATAAGTTTACATATATTTGCAGATAACCCAGTCTAACCTTAGATGATGTAGATTCGAAATTGCCGATACAATCGACCAAAACCATTTGAACTCGAGATCGGATTAACTCAAAGTTGATTACCTACCAATTAGTCTAAGTAGGGAGGCTACCCCTAACTCCATCTGCAAAACGACTCGAAACAAATATGTACATATGTACATGCAGTATCAATAGCAGCTTTGAAGCTTCAGAAGGCTGTTGTGAAGAATTATTTCATATTTTTGTGCGGTTATGATTGAGGTGGATGGTGAGGTTATGCCAAAAGTCTGAGCTGAAGTGGTGAAACTTACTTCGGTTTCGATTTCAGAGGCTGCAAAACAATATAATAAGTTCAAGATTGCCGAGGGGTCAGAGCAAACAAATGGTTGTAGGTATGTACATATAGCTGTTTTATTTTATTATTGTTTTTATTTGGACCTCCAAGCACAGCAAATGGTTAATATGAGTGGAGCGGCTGCTATGCACCATATATACCAAAAGAATGATGTAGCTCGCGTATGCAGATGATATCGATATCGTCGGTCTGAAACAAAGGCGCGTGACCGCAGCATTTCAAGTTTAGGAAAAGAAGCTAAAGAGGTTGGTCTAGCCGTGAACGAGGACAAGACAAAGTACCTCCTGGCACACGTCACTATTGGCGGCTATAACATTGAAGTAGTGAAGGACTTTGTCTACCTAGGATCCAGCATACACACCAACAACAACGTCAGCGTGGAGATCAAGCGAAATAACTCTTGCCAACAGAAGCTACATTGATCTTCTTGGTCTTCAACCTAATTTTCTACGTTGGATCTCTTCATACCTCTATGATAGATCACAAAGCGAAATGTTTAAAAATACTATTACTGACACCATTGGTGTTACTGCAGGAGTCCCGCAGGGTAGCCTCCTAGGCCCGATTCTGTTCTTGCTTTTTATAAACAATATTTCGGCAGATATAAAATTTTCAAAAATTTTAATGTGCGCAGATGATATGAAACTTTATAAATCGCATGATTCAATTAAAGAAAAGGCTTTGCTACAAGCAGACTTAAACAGCATGGCTAACTGGTGCCATGTTAATCGTATGCTTCTAAATCTCGGAAAATGTAAAGTGAAGTCAGTAAGTAAGCTGTTCAGCCAATACAATAGATAACCATAACTTGGAGCGGGTATACAATTTTGTGGACCTTGGTATCACAATGGATCCTAAACTTAATTCTAATCTTCACATTAATGTGCCAGTCAACAAGGCTAAAGGTGCACTTGCATTTGTGAAACAATGGTCAAAAGAATTTAGTGACCCTTATATCACTAAAACCCTGTATACAACATTAGTTAGACCGATTCCGGAATACGGTTCGGTGGTTTGGAATCCAAGGTATCAAATTTACTCAGACTCAATTCGAAACCCATTCCTACACTGAGAAAAAAGTAAGTGCGCCTGGGCCACACTGGAGAAGTGAAACTTACGATACGAATCTCTTTTTTCTCATAACCAATATACATAAATATGTACATACATCATGGCTGCGTTTCTTTATACATTCCGGATAATCCCATTTCACAGCCGGAATAAACAGAATGCGTTTGAAATATACGTCAACATATCATCAGGAACGTTCTAAAGAATAAATAAACAAAAAAGTTTATTCCAAACATTCAGAATGAATAAAGAAATGCAGCCCATATATGTAATACTTCAATATTGGCAGTAAGCTAACTTCTCAATGTGTAAGCATTCCGAAATCAAAGCGAGACAGTCTAGTACCGTTTTTGTCAATGTATTGTGTACTTGAGTGCCGTTTTTGTATATGTATTGTGTACATGTTTATTTATAAACGTATGTGTTCCTTTTCTTTCGTACGTGTTTATTGATATAACTGTACTGTAGTGTTTTCGGAAGGTACTCGCTCTTACTGCCAATATAGGAGTATTACATATATGACACATACATTCATCTGCTTTTGCTTAAGGTTATATTTTTGTCTTTTTTCTACATAGATCCCTACCTCTACTACAGTTCGTTCTAATTACATTTATCTTATTCTGTTTTCCTTTATCTTCATTTTTATCTTTACACTCTATCGATAGTAACTCCAACAAAAATATAGCAAAATCGGTTATAATATTGGTAGCAAAATTGATTAGAAAATCGATAAAAATGTAATATAATTATTCATAATTATATTTCTAATAAATAAATAAATAAAATAAAAATATTGATAACAAAATCTATAAAAAATCGATAACGAAGTCTATAAATTTCGGTAAATATTGATAACAAAATCGATAAATATCGGTAACAAAATCGATAAATATCGATAACAAAATCGATAGTAAAATCGATAAAAAGGTCGATAAATATCCATAACAAAATCGATTAATACCAATAGCAAAATCGATAAATATCGATTACAAAATCAATAACAAAATCTGTAAATATCAATAACAAAATCGATAACAAAAGCGATAAAAATGTCGATTATTTCATCGATAAGTCTCCCGAAAATCCCTAAATTTCCAAAATAGTTCCCAGATTGAGTCACTGTGTCTCTCTCTCTTTATCCTTTCCTCTTTAATTACCTTTATTTTAATCTTTCTTCCTCTATCTTCATCTTTAATTTTATCGGTATCCTCATCCTCCTATTTGTCTTCACTTTTATGTTTATCATTTTCTTCCCCTTCACATTTTCCGTTATATATATAAGTAAAGTGTTTAAATTTACCTTGGTCTTAATTTTTGCCTTTATCTTTACGCGTCTTTATCCTTTTATTTATCTATGTATGTGTGTGTTATTCTTTAACCTTTTATTAGTTGTATAACATATGCATACACACAAGAAGCTCTTGTTTCAGCCCCAACCATTTCCGTGGCACCATTTCCGTTGCACCATTTCCATTGCACCATTTCCGTTGCATCATTCCCGTTGCACCATTTCCGTGTGCAATTTCCGTTGAATTTGCCAATTTACTCCCAACCAACCAACCGCCACTAAAGAAGTTTCACTTCAAAAAACACGTTGTAAGAATAAAATTTTTTATTTGATTACCGTTAAATCAAGTGAAAAGTCTTAAAAAATGGATGTTTCCATTATACATACACTACGTATGTATAATACACTACGTATGTATAATGGAAATATTCAATTCAAATACGCCCGTATTAAAATGAAGCATTTTTCACTACACCGATGGCGTTTTGTACGTCTCGGATGCTTTTTTCATATGTAATTAAGAAAGTATGTGTATACAAAGCATGCACAGCGGTGACAACACATACACACATACATGGTATGACATAATGAACAAATCGCGCGCTATTTTTTAATTTTTTAAATTTAGCACGTTTTTTTTAATTCTAAAATTTTTTTCCCTCAGTGTACTTTTTGCTTTAAGCAATTTCCGTTGGGATTCTCAATATAACCCTCCGCCTTATACGAGCCGATTAAAACTTATTAATCTTCCTACACTTGTCAGTCGCAGGGAAATGCTTGGTACAATTTTTATGGTTAAATTACTGGCAGGCTCAATTTCAAGTCCGCTTCTTCTGGGTGAAGTTAGCCTCAAAGCTCCCTCCCATGTATCAAGACACTTTTTTGCCCCCTATTTTTGAAAACTTGTAAAACTAATTTCGAATTACACGAGCCACTCCGTTGCTTATGCAAGGATTTTAACTCTCACTCCAGGCACGTTTGATATATCAGATCCGCTTTTCAGCATTAAGAAGGCGATGCTGTGCTCTCTCAATAAATGTACTATTAAATGAAGTTAGTTCTATAGCTGAACAGTTTTAGATATCGACACTTACACAGTGCTGCCTTTCGTGACTCGGCGCAAAAATTGAAATAATGGTTCCGTACGTATTGCGGACTGCGCCTCTCGTGCGGATGGGCGAGAAAGGAGGGTAAAACCCTTGGGATTATTATTATTATTGGGCTCGGTAGGGAATTAAAAAGCAGAGCCTTCTCTCGACGAACAAAAATCACGCGCTACAAGTCTCTCATCATGCCCGTTCTTCTATATGGCGCAGAAACGTGGATGATGTCGAACATAGATGAGCAGGTTTTGGATGCTTTCGAGAAACTGTTAGACATCGAGGTGCTTTTAATAATACTGCCTATTAACCTATCTTGAGGCCATGGTCCATAGAAATATAGATCTATCTACGGTCGGGTGGATCGATATAGAGGTTTACGCCGATAGATATTGCGGCGGCGGCGCCGTCAATCTTAGAAATAATCCGTAACCTATTTATTGCCTTCATACAACTGATTGTTCAGATATGGGGTTTTACTGTAATATTCCTTTATTTGAACAGCTAAAAACGTAAATTTGGTAAGCTATTTATAAATAATAATACAAAGTCTACTGAGAAAATCGTCGAAATCTATGCTGTATAAGCTTTATCTCCTATACCACTGATTGTTCAGATACCAGTTTTTTCGATATATCTTCTTTATGTAGGAAGCTAAACCCATTAAATTGTGTTACCGGTGCTATATAAAGTATATCTTCCATACCTCTGATTGTTTAGATACGATTTTTTATATATGTATGTAACTCCTCTTACGATGTATGCTGTTTTGCAACCGAGGTTCAAAAGAAAACTCTTAAATCACGAAATGCGAAGCAACAACACAAACTCGGCTATTTATCCGAGTTCAGCAAGGTTGGTTAAAAAATACGCGACTGGAAGGGTAGCGTTGGTAAGTGAATAAACTGCTCTATTGTGAATTGTGTCTAAATCCCGTCCAACTAATCACGTGTTTCTTTGTTGTTGTTGTTGTTGTGGCGATCGGTTGATATCTCAGTCGTAGTCGTCAAGTATACGATGAGATGTTCCCAGTCATGACGTGTCTTTCCGCATGCCGGACACTCATTTGGCACATCTGCGTTTAATCTGCTCAGGTATGAGTTTAACCAGCTGCAGTAGCCAGAGCGAAGTTGAGCTATTGTGGTTCTTGTCAACCGAGGCAGATGAAACTCCGTCTCGTCGATATCTGGTTGTTGTGTGCCTAGAACGGCATTCACAGGTCAGGAGTCTACATAACTCGAGACTGACTCCCTGTGAATGTCGCTCAGGGCCTGTCAATAAGTTGACCCGTCTAGAGGTTCTTTTGTCGCTCGTTAAAAAAAAGCAGCTATTTTAGTGCCCGACGTCACACTATTTTGGATAAGTTTTAACATTTTATTTTCAAATTAATTATAAATATTTTGTCATAAAAACCAAATCCATTCTGTAACAAAACTCAGATGTCCACGTAACAAACTTTCTACAAAAACTGTAGCTTGAATTTATGCTAAATAGCTACAAAATACCTTTGATTTTAGCAAATTTTTTGATGACGGTGTTGTGCATTTTCCTCAATACATAACAATAAGAAACCGAACATAATCGTATCGAAGTAAATGGGTTACCCCGACAACATAAAAAAATTACCAAAAAACCAACGGTAACCACTTCAAACTTGCATTTATTTATTGAATGGATTATAAAACAGCATACCTAAAACTTTTCTAAAAATTCTGAATAGTGTATAATTTTGATGAATATTTGACTTTTTCAATTTTTATAAAAAGCAAGGCGAATATATATAAGGTGGTATCGATTCAACAAATATAACAATTACTTGTATTTTGTTTTTGCTTTTAGCGGGCCATTGTCAAATTTCAGCTATTCTTCTCCGAAGGAAAAAGGGCGACAGAAAATACAAACACTCTCACGTTTTCACTCACTCACTAGCGACATACAAAATTTTGACAATCAAACGCTACTCACAGCTGATGAAACAACACCACCTTATATAAATTCGCCTTGATAAAAAGTTTTAAACTTTGATTTACATGATTTTTGTTATATAACTATATTTTTTTTTAACAAAAATTTTGAAACAAAAAACAAAACAGAGTTCAATTCTCATATACAAATTAGGAGTACCGTTAATTTCTTCATGATCCAATGATCGGATGTAAACAAAATTAGTATGGGACCACCTCTGATGTACCACCTCAGACTTATAGAACTCGGTTTACGTGATCCAAAGTTATTCGGCACCATATATAAAAAATGTTCCAACGAATCGATAATCTCCTCCTTTTTTTGAAGTCGGGGTAAAAATTAAATAATAAAATATAAATAGTCAAAACTCATCAATATTGTGTCGGGCAGTATATACTATTTTATCAGCTCGTGTTATTTTGTATATACATATGTATAAAGTATATTTGTTAAAGTTATTTCATACACTTATCTCACGACGGTTATTAAGTAAAATAACCAAAAAATAATGTAAAAAAATATTTTTTTAAAAACAAGCTTTTATTTAACTTGGTCATCCGCGGAAGTCGCGGAAATTTCCAATCGATTTTAAACTAACTTCCCGACAAGTTAAACACTTGAAATTTTCAGCAAAGTTCCAAACACGATGATAAGGCAATTTAATATATAAATGAATTCCCCATATGGTCCAAGGGTCTTGATTCAAAGGCGGTAAAAAAATAGTAAGATTTATGGCTAACAGAGCGTAATTTGCCAAAGAACGTAAAACCACTATAAAATTGCTAAAGCGATAAAGCCGGCGATAAGCACAGCTCTTTAACCTGACTTCTAACGTAATAAAATCAAACTATCACCCTCATTGCGAGAGTCGTGTCGAATGCAAGTCGTTTTTCGAGAGTCGAATCGTATCGAAAATGTCACGTCATTGCCTAAAATTTCCACTCGACTAGTGTATTAAAACGGAAAAACTTGGCAGCACTGTATAGTTTTCGACGATTTTGGTCGTTTACTTATTTCAGTACGACAATAGACAATGCTACTGTTGTTAGCCTAATTTACGACTTACGCAATGAGGCTGATTTTCTCTAAAGTAACGAGTCTCGTACTGCTTCCTGGTGTTGGCATTTATTAGTGAAGCTGATAGTAGTATATTGGGCTGTCTGGGTTAGGGACTTGTCATGGGAATGCAAGAGATCTTCAACTTTTTTTTTTGGTAGTCTGAATTTATTAAAAAAAAGGAAAAATCCTTAACACAATAGTTAAGTTTTAAAAACTAAAAACATTATATTCAAATATTGTCATAGTCTTCGTCTAACTCGAAACACGAGTTTGAATTTTTACACGTTGCCGAGAGTGCATTTTTTCTTGGCGCAGTCATTTTTGCCATTATATCAGTTGATGCTTTTAGCATGGCTTTATTTCCACCCTGTTGACTATTGGCTGAAGTCGACGCAAACGATGATGATGGTGAGCAGCTGGATGACGAAGCTGACGATGACGTACTATCGACGGTTGTGGTATTAGAGTCCGTTTTTGAATCAGTACTTTGAATTGAGGGCGGAGTAGTGGACGTAGATGATGCTTTATCAGCTCCAATTTTGCCATAAATGTTGCCCGTGCTTGTAGGTTGCGTTGCACCAGCATTTGCCAATTCAACCGGCAAGGCACCAATGCTTATTGTTGCAACAGCTGGGGCGGGCACATTATTACCTTTTGTTTTTTTGCTCTCAACGCAGGTCGTTACAATGTTTGACAAATCGATATTGATGATGGGTGCGTCAACACTAAAATTGAAGCTCGCATTCCTCACAGGTGCGCTCAACGATAAGTTGCCTATGGCTGCGGTTGTGTTGAGCTGTTCACTGGTGCCCCTAATGGCAGGTGTTAGCGGCAGATTGCTGTAGTCTATCTTTACAATGGGCTTATTGCAAAGATCGTAGCTGAAAACAGGCGCGGGTATGGCAGTTTGTGAATGTGTTTGTTGTGTTGTTGGCTCACACTTTTGACGCTTTGGCGGCGATGAGTCGAAGCAGTTGTCATTATTGTTGCTGCACGCTACTGACTGCGCCTGATGCCGAAGCCGTTTCTGTTGCCCTTGCCCCTGTTGCTGTGGGGTTGCAGCATTTGGTGCTATATGCCACATGTGCTGGGCTGCATTAGCAGGCGATGATTCGGAACGCATTAATTTTAGTGGTTGAACATAATTTCCGTGAACGCCACGTTGCGCGGACGGCAAAGTTGTGTGGCTCGCTGTAGCAGGTAGTGGTGTCGCCGCTGCTGATTGTGATTGTACCACAGATGCAGTATGCATAATGACACTTTGTGTTCCACTAATACGTTGACGCATACGTTGTCTTAAATCTGTTTCAGTCATACCAGAATCATTGCCACTACCGTTTTGTGGCGGTTGTTGGTATTGTTGTTTGTACTGGTAATTTGTTTGACCACCGTTGGCCTTTGTTGCGGCAACTCCACGATTATTGTTGCGGCCGCCTGATGTAGATGGCATGCTAAGATCATATGGAGTATCCGAATCGGGATAAACATCTTCGGGAGAACTCTGGCCATCCTCTTCATTATAGTTGGCAGCTTCTTCTGCCACACTTATGTCGGGTACATTTTTCACAAGTTCACGTAAGAAATCAAAGCGCTGCTCAGACATAATACACTGCTTCATGTGGGATGTAGATAAAGTTTTTGCATTCCGCGAATTAGTAATCCTCAGTGTCTTTGTTAAAAGCGATTCCACAAAGAGTTCTAATGTCCTTGGTATATAAGATAACACATAAAGAAACAAAAGATATTCATAGGAATACAAGTTAAAGACATCCGTTAATGAAAACCGTTGTTATTGTTGTTTTTAATAGATAATAAAAAAATTAACGAAAAACCTGATGGTTAACATTGAACTACATACATATGTACGTATATTATATACAGCCCGAAGGCGGATATAATATCCTGTGTAGGTATACTCCCCAGAAAAGCAAGAAATGACCAGAGCGGGAACTTCCAATATTTAAATTTCACAAATCTCAAGAACTATAAGGGTAAGAATAAGCGAATTTTAGACGGGATAAAATAAGTATATATGTAGTCCTAATGAATATTGATAACAGTATTTTTTCCCAATTTGGCTCCGGATTTGACTAAGTCATATTTGAAATGAGAAACAAATATACTTAAGCGAATTAAGTTTGAGTAATTGATTAGCCAGTAAAAAATTTAAGAACAGGTGCATTCCAAAACGTCAAAATTCTAAGCATTAGACTCTTTTATTTCAAAACCGCACTAGAAGAAAAAGTCTAACTTGCGCAACCTAGTTGAAAACTAGCATGTAACCATGCGCATATATGGCGTTACAAGCTAAAGAAATGAAAGACACTGATGCTTTGTATATTGACGTTATGGAATTCACCCAAGTTTTTGCATCTTCTCGGCATACTCAAAGCGTCATAGTTAGAAAAGAAAAATGTTTCGCTTTTTATTTTGAAAAGGATATAAATTATGACAGGAACAGCTTGTGCGACCTTTCCTATTTCCTCGTCACTCTGCATTATTTTCTTGATGCGACCCTGTAAAAATATAAAAATCTTATCAGATTCTTCTGCCACAGGAAATGAAAGGGAATGAGTGTGTGTGCATGCTTGTGTGAATAAACTTTGTGCGCCCAACTATCGGCTGAATGAAAATGCCAACAGCGAACGTATCAGTAGTTACAAAAGCTTTTATTGTTTTTATCTTCTGAAGTTGCTACCCAATTTTTAATGTTTTCTTCGCTCTTACACACTCCCATTCACTTTTTCCAACATTTGACACTCACCGCCGGGAAACGCGCATTGTATTTCTTCTTTTTTGAAGGCATGCTTTTTTAATGCGCTTGATGCCTTTATCAGTCTATATGAGAAGATTTCAAATATTTATGCAATTTCCCAAACGATATAATAAAGGTTTGGCTTGGTATTTTTCTTCGATTTGTCTTCAATGCCCTCGCCGCAGCTGCGTCACTGGTTTCGTCAATATCACTATTTTTTCGTTAACTACTTCCTCGATGCAGACGTTGCCGATGAAAACGTTGCGCTAGCGACGACAGAACGTCCGGACTGAAGCGCTTGTTTTTTTTGGTTTTGTTGTTCTAATTCTAATTGGAGGGGTTACTGTTTGCAGTGAACTTATTGCAAAATTAGCACGAGTTTTGCTGGCAACAGAAAACATGCATATCTTTTTACACAATTTACATTTCACGGTGCACTTTCTACGAAAAATAATAATATGAACTATTGTTTTACTCAGAAGCTAAAAATTCTATAGGCAAGAAAAATTGACACGGCTTAGAATTTTCTTCTATTTGATATGACGAGCGCAGCTGTCAATAACAGAGTTGTATCCAGCGTTGCCGCGAGCTTGCAAAAAAAGTATCAGTTGCCAAGCAGAAAAAGTATCAAAAATTATCGAAAGCAAAACAACTGTTATTTTTAACCGACTTCCAAAAAAAGGAGGTAGAAGGGGAAAATGATCCAAAATGTTGTAGACCTACCACAATTGGGGTAAAGTGGCTACACTGCTAGTACTAAAATTAATGCAATTTTGAACGTAAAGACGTGTATTACATTTACATTGGCCCCAAATGTGTGCTTTGAAATCAGTAATTTGATGGTGTTTACACTGCTTGATCCACATTTGGTTTTGACTTCTCATCAATTGAAAAGGGAAGACAAAAACAAAATGAATTTGAAAAAACACTACATTTATTATATTTTTTACATATTTCGGACACAACAGGCAATTATTCCTTGATTAATCTAAAAAAGTGTAAACATTATGTATAAATTAACAATTTTTATACATAAATTTCAAGGATTTATTCATTTGGTTGTGTTTGTCTTGATTTTGATAAATTCCAAAAGTCAAAGACAACCAATAGCTTTTGTGTGCGTTATTTGGCCTCGCATTTCAGATTACTCGACGAAATGCCGCATTTGGGCTCAATGTAAATGTAATACTACGCTCCTGAAACGGCAACGTAATCAAATTTATTTTAACTCAACAAAGCAAAAAACTTCTTTGCGATAGTATATTGCATTATTTCCCAATTATAAGTAACTATACTAACGTAACTATTCAACTTTGTATAACCGAAAATAACAAAATAACACATAACAATATTCAGTGCCCGGAAGTGAAAATGAAACACGACTAAAAATGATTACCCCTCAAATCCCAATAAACACAGCAATATTTTTTTACATTCTACAACACTGACCATAAAAAGCCGACGGCGGAGTAAAAATTTGTAAATATAAATTATAAATGCACTTAAAAAAGGAAATAAATTACTTCATTGATGTCCAGCAGGCGTAAAGATCCGTGTAAAGCAAATGCATGTAAAATACAAGCCTGTCTAAGCGGTATGTAAATAGTAAAGGATGGTTGAAAATCCCTTTTAAGAGCACCATTAAATTATATAATTCCGAAATGCTTTAATAGAAAATAATTATCAAGAAAGTAAATGCTTGGAAGTCCTGGAACAAATGCGTATCTGTTGCTTGAAGTGGCATAAAGAATCAACTTGTTGTTCGGGGATCTATTTGGATAAAAGTTATCTTGTTGACAAAGAGGAACAAGGAAGAGGAATTGACACCGGCAAGTAACCAGCCAACTTTTCTGTAAAAAAACGTGAGTAGATAGATGTTTAGGTATTAAAATGAGGTGTGCCCTGCGACCTGGCGTTAAAGTGGATGTGGTTAAGCTTAGGCCACATCGAGCATAGACTCCTCTGACGTCTTCTGCTGACTGCATCTCACTCGGTGAGAATGTGAAGCGGAGTCTCGTTGGTGCAGTTGCCATTATACCATGTTCTCAGCTTTTGCAAGTGATCCCTTAGTCTGCAGTGTCCTGTAAGCATACCTACCTGTTAGAATTCTAAGCTTTTTTTTTGGGAGGTTAATTAAGCTTTGGAAGCTCTTCTGTCAACCCCTCCCAGTAAATTCTTGCCTGGCGCATTCTTCCTGAAGTGTGCCAGTTTATATCCCGTAGTGTGTTCTTCTCTCTCCTAAGCTGCCCCTTTATAGACTTACTCCCAGGAGAGGCTCTGCGCCGACTAAAGTCCTGACTGCCGCGAGACTGTCAGCCGCCTCATTACCGTCTATGCCTCTATGGCCGACTACCCACGCTAATTTGATGTTATTGTGTCTGCCAAAGGGAGCTTAGCTTCTCAATGCAATCAAGGACTAACGAAGATTTGCCTTCATAGGATAGAATAGCCTTAGTGCCCCTTGACTGTGGCTCAGCATTAAGACTCTCTCATTTCGGTTCTCTCTATTCATGATTGTCTGCGCACATAGATAGATGGCATAGACTTCTGCTTGGAAGGTCTCGACCATTTCCCCGTAGGAACAGAGATTCTGGTTCTGGGCCCGAGGACTCCAGCCCCTACTCCTTCTGGGGTCTTCGAGCCATCTGTGTACCAGTATAGTGTGCAACTCTGAAGTAATCGCTCGGAGGCGGGAACGCTCCAGTTGCTTTGCTGCATAGCTCTATTTTAAATCTCTTCTCAAACAGTATGGTTTTGCCTATGTCATCCTTATGGAACAGAGCTAGCGGGAGCGATGACCCTAGCCTAACCATATTCTTAGAGAATATCACCTTAGCTTTTCGAGATCCCTCTCTACCAAAGCTAAGCTGAGTTCTTTTGGCTACCTGCTCTATGGTTATGTGAAGAGACTCAAGTTCGAGGAATATGTGAATTTTTATTTAGTTTTACGCTACTTAACTGATAGGACCTGAACAATGGGTGCTGAATTAGAATATATCAAGTGCTAAAAGTACATAGCGCTCATCGCTCCGACGACAGTCGGGTCTACGAAACCGGAACGACTCAGATTTATATATGTATATCCGGCCAAGTACTGTCGCTCCATCGACATTTCCCAAAAACTTTTGGGGAATTTGTATGCTGTCCTAACTCCAAAAAACGGTATTTTTCAAAATGCAAAAAAAGAGATGAATATCGCCTTTAGTTATTTTAGTTAGACAGCCTTTTAGTATATGAGCGATATCTATGTACATACAAACATGATATGTTCATACATACAAATATATGTACATATATATATTAGGGCGCCCATCGAAAATGTTTTCTTTTTTTTTTAATTTCAAGACCCTACCCCCTAATTTTACTCGTTTTTATGAAAAGTATTATTGCCCATTTTTATAGATTTTTTAAAGGTCATTTAGAGGTGGCGACCTGTCGATTTCGGTCAGAAAATACGATTTTGTAGATTTATGAGTTTTTGAATGACTATTTTTGGTTCGATTTCAAAGATCGAATATGATCTGAGAAAATGATATATGTATATGCCTTTAAAATGGTACATAATAATCTATTGTCGGACTTGGCTTGGTGGAATATCTAAATGATCTTTAAAAAATCTATAAAAATAGACAATAATATTTCTCATAAAAACGAATAAAATTAGGGGGTTGGGTCTTGAAATTTCCAAAAAACAATATTTTCGATGGGCACCGTAATGTATGCACCCTACGATTATTAGTTTTGGAGAAGTCAAGGTATCCCACTTCGATACATGAAGGCTAAATGTGATTCGGGGAAGTTTTTCTGGAGGCACCTGTACATGTCTCGAAACTAATCAAAATGCAAATTCCGAAGCCTTATTTTTCTGCTACCAGAATCGTGATCCGCGTTATATACTTTCATTGTCAATGCTTCTGTGCCATAATCCAGCTTAGGCATGAGTGAGATTTCTGTACGACGATCGGGACTTACTTCTCAATTGCCTATTCAGTCCAAATTAGCATTGTTGGCAAGAGTTCAGAAGTATATACATACATAGGTACTGAAATTTGGAAAAGGATCCATTTTGTTTTTGTTAAAAGAACTTTCGTGAAAGTTCATTAAAGAGCGCAGTTCGAATGTCCTATTGATTTTTTGTTTCATCGAGATACCTGATTTTATATTTACGTATTTAAATAAAGATTTTGATACTCCCTTCTATAAAAAAAAAAAAAATTCGGACGAAAATTCGGCCAAATCGAATTTTTGTTGTCAAAGCGGTAGTTCAGTCTTTGTTATTGTTCGGTCTTTCTTTAGCTTTTATGTAGATACATTTACATACATATGTATATATTTTTTAGCTTATGATGCTTTCATTTCTATCGAAAAATGTTACCTTCTCCCATGAAAAGGCAAATTTTTTGAGGAAAAGAAGACGCCATAACTGATAGATAATCCACAAATATGCTGGTTTACATATACGTATATAACTAAAACTCTAAATTTCCATATTCCAGTGAATAATGCAAAAGCCTTCTATTCCACCCTACAAACCGTCACCTGAAATACAAGAAAAACTTCAAAAGCTCCAACAACAAGCACAACAGGAGAGTGGGCAACGGCGCCGTACAGCTGTGCTGCCAAAACGCAGTTGGATTCAACGTAATCCACGACTATTTCAGATTACTTTTATCACGACTTCATTGCTGGTGCTATTTTCAAAACCTTTGTACGACGCCTTCATTGCGGATCCCATCCCACTACCGCGCGGCGGAGCACCGCCACCCCACAAGCGTTAAGAATAAAGCGTTAAGTAATAAAGTCACTCAGTCAAATCGAAAGTAATCAGCGAGAAAACAAAGTCGGTAGTGCGTTATCATTAGAGAATGGAATCAGTGCGTAAAGCCAAACAGAGGCTACGCAACTACCCCGTGCTGCTGGGTAAATGCGCTGATAAAGCAGCAGTCTATGCGGCATGTGTGACACGAGATTTAAATGTGCAGCATCATATTTGCGATAAGGAATTCCAACAGTTCAGTGAATGCTTACAGAAAGCAGCAAAGGAAATGAAAACGAAATTGTAAACTGATTTATTGATTTAGATACACAAATGGAAAATTTTCGTAACGAATGCATATAAAACTGATATGGATAATCTATTGGAACTCAGTAGGTTAGTTGAAGAGTAAAAACACATTAAAATTAATACTAACTTCCACAGAAAACTTTCAAATCAAATCGAAAAAAATCAAAGTCCAAAAATCATTTGGCAGAAGTAAACATACAACTCAACTACTTGCATACATATACCATATTTAAATTAGCCAGTAAACCCTAATTGGTATAAAACTTAACTATAATTGTACTTACCGAACCCGCTTTAAGATGTCCTTGACTAACACGGCATCCAAAAACATAGTCCAACCATCGCAGCCATTTTTGCGCCGCTGCTTAACACTATTACTAGAACTGAGCTTTCGTACACACCTGCTTATTTCCATTGCACTGCGCCTGCTGCTTATCACCTATGGCCACTGGCATGACGCGCACTCCGAGGTGCCTTATACAGATATAGACTATAAAGTGGTTACAGATGGCGCACGTCATGTGCTGAAAGGTGAGACGCCTTTTAACCGGCACACCTACCGTTATAGTCCCATTTTGGCATACATGCAAATACCAAATGTGCTGTTGCATCCAGTCATCGGCAAAGTCATCTACGCTGCATTTGATATATTTGTAGCGATACTCATCTATATGCTTGTGCGCCTTCAACTGCAAGTGCAATGTCGCAAAGCCGTGCACGCTTTGCTGAGTAAATTTGGTAAAATAAGGTCGGCACAGCACTACAGCGAAACAGATGCGCGCAATCGTCCGGAGAATATTGCACGCGCATCCGCTTGCTTTTGGCTCTACAACCCGCTAACAGCTATTATATCGACTAGAGGTAACGGTGATAGCTTCTCAAGCTTTTTTGTCATACTCGCTGTGTATCTACTAGTCAAGTCGGAGGATACGGAACGTGGTGCCAATTGGTTGATCTTCGCTGCGGGCTTGGTGCATGGCTTTGCCATACATCTGCGCCTATATCCGCTGCTCTTTAGCCTCGCCTACTATCTCTGCTTGTCAAGGAGTCTAACACGCAGTGCACGCGATCTTCTACGGCAACTAATATTTCCCTCATACAAACAGGTGTTGCTAGTTGTGGGCACATGTGTTGCCCTCTTTGCTGTTACCGGTTTCTTCTACTTCCTCTACGGTTGGCAGTACATATATGAAGCGTATTTGTATCATTTTGTGCGACGGGATGTGCGACATAACTTTTCGTTGTACTTTCTGGTGCAATATCTGAGCGGAAATGGGACGGAAATGTCACTCGTTGAGAAGTTGTTAATTTTGGCTCCACAATTATTTTTGCTACTCTATTTGACCTTCAGCTTTGGCCAATTTCGACAAACCTTAACCTTCTGTGTATTTGCGCTGGCGTTTGTTATGGTCACCTTTAACTCGGTGGTGACTTCGCAGTATTTTGTCTGGTATCTGGCGCTGTTGCCGCTTTGCCTCAACAATTTACAATCGATTTCAGTGATGCGTGCGATTAGCTACTTTAGTATGTGGTTGTTGGCGCAGGGACTATGGCTCTTGCCTGCATATCTTTTTGAATTCAAGACGTGGAACACATTCTACTGGATCGGCGCACAAGGTGTTTTATTCTTCTTAATCAACAATTATCTATTAATGCGGTTGATTGAACACTATAGCTTTACATCATTTAAGGTGAACTTCAAAAAGCTATTCTAATCGCATGCAAATACAAATATAAAAATATTAAAACCAAATATAAAAATAATACTTACTTATTTGCATATATGTATGTAAAATATTTTTGTAATAAAATAAAACTTCAAGTCTCTTGTAATAATCGTTAATACTAATTAAAGTATTTATAAAAAATAATAGAATAAAATAAAAGCTTTAACGTGAATGCAAGTCGTATATACATATGTAGTTCACCATTTTTTTTTTGTTCAATCCTCAATGCTAATAGAACAGCGATTATTTGCTAGCTCCATATTGAGGCCCGTGTGCATACCAAAAGCTTATCACATGCAAACTATTCGGTCGCTGATCAATAGCTGGCGCATTAATTCGAACGCTGCTTAATGCCGCCGCCGCTTTTTTGTTCCTCTAATACAGTGATTCCCAAAGTGGTCCAGGTAGACCCCCAGGGGCCCATGGGAGACTCGGCGGGGGGTCTACGTTGGCGTGAAACAAATAAAAAAAAATACGAAAAGTTATTTGGTTTCGATAGTAAAGAACCAAAATGGTTGCTGATAACCTCATTATTTAACAATATTTTTTTTTTGGGTGGTGTTTAGTGCTCTTGACGCACTGCTGCACTTACCATAACTTTGTGTCTTCATGCTTAGGGAATCCTTAAAGACCACCTGCAGACTAAAAATAAACGGATGTTGCTATAACACTGAGTGGGGCAAGGCGGAAATTTCTGGCGACAGAGATTTGAGCGCTTGTGTCTTTTCAATGCTACAGGATACCTTTGTTGAGCAGATTCTATAACGTTGAGTTCCCTGAGGCTAAATGCCGTTTTAATTCCAGCACTGACCCAGGCCTCACACATTTTCGAGTCTTTACTGATGGCTCCAAAACTGACTGTGGGTCAGGAACTGGGCTCTTCTTCAAAGTTAGTGGGGATAAATTTCACTTTTCTCTCGAATTAATTATGCTCGTAAACATAACGAGCTTGCTTTACTCTGGGTGCCAGGTTACCCGGGAGTACCTGGTAATGAGACATCTGACCATTTGGCCACAGTCGGCTTCGACCAGGCATTCCTCTATATGCAACCAGTTATAGCACTCCCCACTTCGGCCATCACTGGGGACATTGAGGGGATGCGGGTGGGCATGTTGCCTTCAATCTCAGAAGTTCTATATAGTTTTTTGGTCTCATTGAGCAGATGGGACTGCAGACAACTTCTAGAACTGCTGACTGGTCACTTCAGGTGGCACAAACACCAACAACACAAACAACAAAAACGTGAATGACAACTCCATTTGCCTATCATGCCTTAAAGAGGGCGAGACAGTGGAACGCTTTTTGGGCTTTTTGCTTGCTTGGTTGTTTGTCATCAATTTTTCTAGATTCGGTATTTTCTCTATTGTTAGTTTCTGAAGATCTAATCTTCACATTTTTTGACGAGCTTTGTTAATATGTTAGAAATGTAGCAGCAGGGGGTCCACCGAAACCAATTAACTTTTGAAAGGGGTCTACGAGAAAAAAGGTTTGGAAACATCTACTCTAATACAAGTATGTTGCACAGCTAAGTACGTTAATCTAAATTAACATGCTGAGTACTAGTAAATCTGGCCTAGTTGTAAGCTGAAGCTTATGTGGAAAATATTATGATAATTTATTATAATTGTATCAGCAAAGTCATTAATTTTTAAACATTATTTCTATATGCAAGTATGCACGTATAAGTATAATTTACACAGCTATTACAAAATTAGCTTTTACGTTGTGTATAAATATTCATTTGATAAATTGTTAGCGCTCACAACCTGTTTTCGAACAATGACTTGAAAACAGAAACAACGTGTATCAGCTAAATGCATTGATAACGAGTTGTTTACGTTTACCTATTTATTATTTAGTTAATTCAAGGCGCCAGACATTAGTTGATACTGGGGTAACGGTATTTTAGGTTAGGATAGGTTGGACTGGGTGACAACACAGGCTCATGGTGGTGCACAGAAGAGTTTCGCAGACCTAAACATAATTAAAACAATCAAGTAGACTGGGTCACAAAAAATTACAGGTTTTCTTAGAAAGGACTCAGGGTGATAAAAATTTTCGTCCTTGACACTTTTCTTTCATATGGAGTCCGCCCGATCTATTGTCCATGTCGTCGAAAAAATTGTCCAACCAAAAATTTGAACAATTTTCGTGAGAGTGTAATACATTTGGAGAGAATTGTTCCTCGGCGCTTTAGTTACACTGAATCCATCGTAGGTTCGAGTTTCGTCAAATCTACGAAAGCGTTCTCACTAAATACGCTACGAAGGTAAACTTAAACTAGATATTTATTTGGCGGTTTTTTCGTTCGAATATACTTACGTTGTGCACTTCACGGATGCTTTTTCATAGTTTGGAAACACAAAGCAATAATGTACATATATTAAAATTTTAACTGATGATATTCGAACCTGCGACCTTCTGGAATCTAACCAATAACAGCAAGCACATCTGCACACTCAGCTACAGCCAAGGTACGTACACGTGTCTTCAAATACCCAGTTCTAATTACATTTCTTTGATAATTTTTTTTAATCGCTGTCATGGGAAAACCAAAAAAAAATAATTAATTTTTTAACCGACTTCAAAAAAGGAGAAGGTTATCAATTCTTCGGAATATTTTTTTTTTATGTACATACATATGTTACCGCATAACTTTGGACCACGTTAACCGAATTCTTTTTTATCGCAAAGGTGGTATCTTAGGGCTGGTCCCATACTAACTTGGTTTAGATCCGATCATTGGATCATAAGAAATAACGATAATCCTAAATTAAAGTCGGTTGTGTTTTTTTTTTTACTTAAAAATTACTTATATCGCTTTCGATTTTAGAAGTGGTTTAGAACTATCGAAAAAGGGATGAAGCGGGAGCTATCGAACTTTCGTTCTTGTTGTCGTTGTTGTAGCGGCTACTAAGCTCCGCTCGGGTCGGTTTATCCGTCAACGTGGTCGTCTATTTCAGCTAGGGGGAAGTGTGCGACTTCCACAGGGTCTGTCCATAGGAACAGGGGCGTCAGCTGAGTGGGGTTCTCAGGGCATGTGAAGAGGTGCCGGGAGTCATGTGGCGACTCTCCACATGCCGCGCATTGGTTGGGCACATCCGCATTGATTCTGCTCAGGTAAGAGTTTATCCTGCTGCAATAGCCAGAGCGAAGTTGGGCTATTGTAGTTGTCGAAGTTTCGTAAATTCGCCAGTTATTAGCATGCAAAAGAAAATGAATACGTCAGCCATCTCGTTGCCATGAATTCTGCTATGCCCCGGCACCCAAATCAGTGCAACGACTTGCCTGTCAGTTAAAGCCATAACGTTCTCCCTGCACTGTTTTATTATTTCGGAGGTAATGCTTACAGAGCCAAGTGCCTTGATCGCTGCC